GGAGGTTGCTGTAGGCACCTGGGAAACTTCTCAGCCAAGAATGCCAGAAGTAAGAAGGCCTCTCTCTGAATGCAGGCAAGTGGACACACATGCATTTTGTCTAGGAGAGTGGCCTTCTGAATGTGACCAGCTGGAGACTGCCAAATTTTCCACACAGTTTTTCAGTTCTCTCTTTCAGTTTTTCAGTTCTCTCTTTTTCAGTTTCTCTCTTTTCCTCTATCTTTTTCTTTCTCTCAAAGGAGGAATTAGAGAGAGAGGGAGATAGAGTGACATGGGCTGATTTCCTCCCCAATGGCCGTGTGGCCGCAGGTTGGGTCAGACACACACCAGGAACCAGCAACTGCTTCTGGCCATCCCACAGGGCTGTTGGCATTCAAGCAGGACGACCATCCCCTGCTGCTTTCCCAGGCACAGAAGCAGGGAGCTGGAGCACAAGTGGAATAGCTGGGACTCAAATTGGTTACTTGGCGTGCCGCTGAGGCAGGCAACTCATCCAGCACACCACAGGCCCATCCCAGCACTAGGAATTGGATCTGCCATACAAAGAACCGTCAATCTGATAAAGGAAGCAGCAATCCAATCAACATTCCATCAAGACTGATGGAATAGAGACAACCTGTGAAAGATTGTTGAGGGTTTGAACGATGAGGACCTGACTGGTATTTCAGCACTGTGACGTGAGGAATAAACACACCGGCCAGTGGTTTCAATCCATGCAAGGCTCTGGGTTTTATTTCAATAAAATGCATAAAAGAAATGAATGTATAAGGGAGAGAGTTGAGGCACACTAGAGCAAGGCCAACTCTCTGCGGGTCTGTCCTGATTTTCCAAGCAGTATCATCAGGCAGGCTCATAACAGATCTTACGGGAATGATCCTTGACCCGCTTCCAGGTCCCCACATTGCCGCAGGTCTGGCCCCTGGTCTGGCCCCTGGTCTAGTGGCCCATAGTGTGTTTTCCCCAGGTCCAAGATCTTTGAAAATGAGTCTGGGTCCAAAGCCTTGGAGTCTGAGCTGAAGTGTTTTAGCAGGGCCTCGGCAACACACTTCTGTCCAGCTCTTTCAGAGACCATGTCAGTCCAGGCATAGCAGTCCAAATGGCCACTGCCCAGCCCAGCCAGGACATTTTTCATGCCATTCAGTCCTTGCTGAATGAAAATGTTGACTGTGTGCTACTTCCAGCAATGAGAGGGGCCACAGCCCAACCCCACCAGCATTCAAATCCTCCTGCCCATGGAGAAACTTGGACAAATTCCCACTTGAGGAGATGTCTCCTGCTTTGGACAGAAAACCAGAAAAACAAGAAACAGGGCCCAGTGTGGTAGTCTAGTGGCTAAAATCCTTGCTGTACAAGTGCCAGGATGCCCTGTGGATACCGGTTCATGTGCCAGTAACCCTGCTGCCCATCCAGCTCCCTGCTTGTGGCCTAGGAAAGTAGGGAGGCATGACCCAAAGCCATGGGACCCTGTAACCATGTGGGAGACCCAGAAGAAGGCCCTGGCTTCTGGCTTCAGCTCAGCTCAGCTCCAGCCAATGTGGTCATTTGGGGAATGAATCATCAGATGGAAGATCTTCCTTTCTGTCACTCCTCCTCTCAGTGTATGTGACTTTCCAAGACTTAAAAATGCATCAAGACTTAAAATAAAAAAGCATACTTCTGCCAATGGGTTTCTCTCTGTCCTCCACCATGTCTCTGCAACTGGGTGCTTCACTTTCCCTTTGCTCAGTAAAGCTTCTGTGTGGTCACTGTGGCTGTATACTCTCCCGCTTGAAGCTCTGGCATCCTTTGTGGGCCTGTTTTGAGTTACAGTTACATCTTGACAATAGGATGCTGGGCTTTCTGTCATTGTCCATGCCCACAATCATGGACAGAGGACCGTGCATGAAGAACTATACTATAGGGGAAGTCAGAGAGCGGGGAGGGAGTTGGTGAAGGGGATAAGGGAAATCCCAGGGCCTATGGAACTATATCATAAAATGATAATACTAAAAAGAAGTAAAATAATTAAAAAAAAAAAAGAGGCAGTTTGTCTTTTGACCCAGTGCCCATAGGGGATGCTGACACTACATTCATCCCTAGTGCTAGAGTGCTAGACATCTAATTCTGGGATTTTACTATATATGTATCTTCTTTCATTTCCCTTCATTTTAAGAGGCCTCTTTTGAGTAGAGAGAGGGAGAGCTAGACAGAGTGGTCTTCCTGTCCATTGGTTCCCTCCTCAAATGGGGCACTGTGGTTTCTGGAGGAGTTGCATTTGAGGCTGCAAGTCACTCTGCACTGCACTGGTCACATGATATGCCGGACTCAAGTGCTGAAGGGTATCCGGTTTCTAGGGAGGAGTGGAATGATGGCCCTGTCCCAGCCCCATTCCCTTGGATCCCAGCACAGTGCATTCCCAGCACACTAGATATGTGTATGAGTGTGTGCATTTTCAGTAAGTTTTGATTTTGCTGTGTGCTTTCAGGACCATTTCTTTGAAGATGTATTGATTTAGGGCCAGCTCAATGACTCAGTTAACTGATGTTCCATCAGCAAATGACAGCATTCTGTATGGGTGCCAGTTTGTGTCCAGGCTGCTCCACTTTGCATCCAGTTTGCTACTTGTGGCTCGTGGGAAAGCACTGGTGGGTGACTCAAAGCCTTGTGACCCTGCATCCTCATGGGTGTCCCTGAGGTAGCTCCTGGCTACTGGCTTTCGAATGATCCACTGCAGTCTTTGTGGCCCTGTGGGGAGGAAACCAATGGTTGGAGAACATTTTTGTCTCTCTTTCTCTCTCTCAATGTGCCTTGCCAAGAAAACAAACAAATGTGTTTTTATTTCTTTGTTTCCAAAAAGAGGATGTACATTCTTTGAAATGGAAAGTGACAGAGAAAAAACTGGAGTGAGACTTTCCAGTTTCCAGTTGACTCTGCAAACGCTTACAATGGCCACTCACAGCCAGGAGCCACATTCTCCAGCTGGTCACATTCAGAAGGCCACTCTCCTAGACAAAATGTATGTGTGTCCACTTGCCTGCATTCAGAGGCCTTCTTATTTCTGGCATTCTTGGCTGAGAAGTTTCCCAGGTGCCTACAACAACCTCCTTCCCAGCAGTCCAGGAACAACATTTTTTTTTTTTTTAAGAATTATATTGTTTTCATTGGAAAGTCAGATATACAGAGAGGAGGAGAGACAGAGGAAGATCTTCCATCCATGTGATGATTCACTCCCCAAGTGAGCACAACGGCCAATGCTATGCCGATCTGAAACCAGGATCCAGGAACTTCTTCTGGTCTCCCACACAGGTACAGGGTCCCAAAGCTTTGGGCCATCCTTGACTGCCCTTCCAGGCCACAAGCAGGACACTGGATGGGGTGTAGCTGCTGGGATTAGAACGGGCGCCCAAATGGGATTCCGGCTCCTTCAAAGCGAGGGCTTTAGCTGCTAGGCCATGACACAGGGCCCAACATTTTTTTTAAGAATTATTTTGTTTCTATTGGAAAGTCATATATACACAGAAGAGGAGAGACAGTGTGGAAGAATTTTTGTCTGATGATTAACTTACTACGTGACTGCAAAGGCCAGTGCTATGCTGATTCGAAGCCAGGATCCAGGAATTTCTTCCTGGTCATCCTCACGAATGCAATGTCCCAAGGCTTTGGGCTATCCTTGACTGCTTTCCCAGGCCAAAGTAGGGCACTGAATGGGAAGTGTAGCTGCCAGGATTAAAACGGGTGACCATATGGGATCCCCGCACATTCAAGGCAAGGAATTTAGCAAACAAGCCACGCTGCTGGGCCCAGGGACAGCATTTCCTACTTGTCACTCAGCATAGCCAATCCTGCTACCCTCTTACCACCCACACCCTGCCTCTTCTGGCATGGATGGATTCCCCAAGCTGCTCTGACACCCACGACGCTAGTGAGGCAGTCACGCCCTCTTCTGTAGGCCTCTGCTTTGGAAACAATGGCCATGAGTGGAGAAAGGATTCTTGCTTTCAGGCTGGCTCACTATCCTAACTGGCTTCTGCATCAGGCTACTATAACCAAAGAACAGGCACATCTAAATGATTGTGTTCAAAAATAAATACATGAATGAATAAGTAACAAACACACATTTATGAACACATTCAATTTATTTTTTCAAGTTTTATTGAAAAGGCAGAGGGACAGTCTTCTCAATCAATCTTATCTGAGACACAGAAGCATGAGATCTTCCTCAGAGTTCCCGGGTCTGCACAATACTTAAAAATGACTGTGCAGCATAAACTTCATACAGAGCCTATCATCCCAGTTGGCTCCCGAGGACACACGCATCCTCTGTATGAGTTCTCATTCTGCTTCCAATGCTGCCTTGCTGCTAATCCATGCTCTGCGAGGCAGCAAGGCAAGGCTGCAGAACTTCTCTCGTTTCGTTGGAGGAGAGCCAGGCTGAGTGTCCAGGTGCTGGCTCAGCTTGTCCTGGCCAGGTGTAGCAGGCCTTGAAGGGGACAATCAGTGGAGACCAGATCTCCCAGTGTCTCTCTGCCTTCTGAGTAGTTGAAAATTGAAAATGAAGCAGATACCTCTTAAGGTTAGGAAGCCAAATGAAGGCACAGTGCAGACTCCTCTGCTCTATCTTTGGGCCAATGCCTTGGTCATCAATTGTGGTTTTGTCAAAGACATGTATGAACAGGTGTTTAGAGCTGGGTGCTCCTTTTTTCCAAGTAAGCAGCAAAAGTGTATCTGCAATTCAAAACAACTTCCTTTTCAAACATCTCAACTTGATGTCTATGCAATGACCGTTTTGGTGAGCACTCTAACAGTCATTTATAAGGAAGAAACTTCACAAGTCTTTGTGATAATTGCTGTGAGACATCACAGCAGCAGGTCCACTCCATCAGGAAATCTCAGCTCAGCTGTGCTATGCGTGTGCTGGGACTCCATCTTGGCATCGACAGCTTTCACAGGACACTTTGGCAAGGACAGCTAAGAGCTGGGACGCTAGCACATTGATGGGAGTTCATAGGTCTTGATGAAGATCATTTGTGGAATTTCTGATGCTGCCGTACATGGTCAGATCGTGCAAAAGCCTTGTTGCATTGGGGACACAGGTAGGGACGCTCCCCGCTGTGCTTCCTCTTGTGTCTGGTGAGCTCGTCTTTGCGGGAGAATGTCCAAGTGCATCCTGTGATGTGGCATGCATAGGGCCTTTCCCCTGCAGAAGAGACAGAGAGTGAGGCTTGTCCCATTTCAGGGTAGAGGTGTTGTGGGCAGGCAATGTTGAAAGTGCAAAGGTTTTGAGCATGTCGTGAGAGGAGAAATAGTGGGGTGGGGTGGGGGCGAGTGACACACAGAGAAGCAGGACAGCTTGAGATGGAGGGTTGAGAAGAAAGCCACGCAGCCAGGAAAGGAAGAAAGAAAAGTAGGAACAGTGGGAGTAGCAGCCCAGCCCATGGAGGAAGATGGTTGAAGGGAGGGCAATGTAGGGTAGGTTGCTCTAGAACAGGGTCCATGAAGTGGCAGTGCCCTTAGATGAAGGGAGGCTCGAGAACCTTCATAAGGAGCCAAACATAGTCCCCTACTTGTTCCTATCATGTCAGCACAAGCTATGCCACCGCTTGGGAAAGACAGTGCAAAAGCATCCAGGTTTTGGGCCAGTGTCACTTATGCACCTCCTCTCTGTTCTTAGCTGAACACGGGTCACTGTGGCAACCATAAGGGTGGGGTGAACCCGCAGAAGGAAGGGCACTCTGTCATCTCACCCTCTGCTTCTAACTCTTTCTCATTAAACTTGTTGAAATACCAAAAGAGAAAAAGCATGAACTTTTCCCCCTAACCCTGGGTCCTCACTCACCTGTATGTCTGCGCTCATGGATTCGGAGGTGCGATGGCTTGGAATATGATTTGCCACAGTCTGGATAGGTACAGATGTAGGGCTTCAAGCGCTCAGGGATCTTGTGCAACTGAGAGTGCTGGGTCGTCGGTAGGTTGCAATCCTGCTGTGCTGGGAGTTGTCCTTGCACCAAATCAGAACTTGCAAAGCATTGTGGAGTTTGTGCTTGGATCCAAGGGTAACTTGAAACAGACAGGCACCCTGGGGCTGGCCCTGAGTAGAACACAGGTGGCATCATATAAGCTCCTTGGAGGGTCTGGTCACAACCGGGCATCACCATCTGTACTCCATAGAGGTTGTGGCTTCCTGTGGGGCTGATGATCTGGCCTCCACTGAAGGTCTGGTAAGCTGTGGTGGTCATCATCTGACCCCCATGGAGAGTCTGGCCAATGCTGGGAGTCATCATCTGGATCCCAGTGGGGATCTGATCAAGTGACACAGTCATGACTTGACCACTGTGCAGGGTCTGTGCACACGGTGTTGACATCATCATGTGCCCAACAGAGAGGGCCTGGTCAGCCGTTGGAGTGATGGCTTGATCCCCATAGAGGGTCTGCCCACACATGGGGCTCACCATCTGCATCCCACAGAGCTGCGGGTCAACCGTGCTGGGCATCATCTGGCCAAGTGAGAGGTTCTGGTGACTTGTGGCTGTGACCACCTGACCCACACGCAGGGTCTGATCACCAGCAGGACTCAGTCCAGGCCTCTCTTGCAGACTCTGCTGATCACTGGAGCCATTGATGTGGCCATCTGACGTCATCTGCATGCTCTGGAGAGTCTTCAACTGGTCACCTTCACTGGGGATGGCTGTCCTGAAGGCAGCGGCATCTGTCTTCTCACAATGGCTTGGGCAAGTCTCGGCAATGTCCATGCCACCTGTCATCTGGGGGCCTGTGCTGGGCTTGGTCTGATCCCAGGAACTCAGCATCTGGTTCATGCAAACTGTCTGCTCTGGGACTCCGGGAGGAGTATTAAGGGCTGCCACAGGCTGGGCTGTGGAGTCCTGGCTGAGCAATATGTCCAGGAGGCTGTCACCCGGTGCAGAAGTCATGGTTGTGGGTGTCAGGCTAGGCATGCCAAGGCTCTGCATGGACACATGCCAGCTGCCCTCATCGCATGCAGCTGGAGGCATGTAGAGCTGTGGCTCTGGTACTGCTCTCATTTGAGTCTGTTCCTTCTGTGCTGAAGAAATGTCCAGGGCACACTCGTTGTCCTCAGCTGTGACCGGGAAGGAGGACATCTCTTCACTGTTACCCAATGACAGAAATATAGCTTCTGTTGCGGGATTCTGCAAAATTAAAAAAAAAAAAACAAGAGTTCTATAAATCATGGTTGACGACAGAAGGAATTAGTAAGAAAGGAAGGATGAGAAAAGAATGTGGAGTTAGTAGTCCACCTCATCCTCAATTCGAGCCCCATCTCCAATTCTCCATTCATGTCAGCACCCGGGGTAGCTAGCCCAGAATTTCACTCCAGCAGCATTTCACCAGAAACCTGCCATGGTCTCAGCTGCCTTGTCCTTCAGAAATGAACTCCACCATGTGCATCCTCTCCCCGGAGTTCCTCTTTCTGAGTTGTGTTGATGGGCCGAGAATAATGTATTGTCCGTAAAAATAGAGGATGATTTTGTTGAGTTCCTTTCCCAACAAGGGGATGCAATGGGGCACATGCGTGTTGCCTGCACTCCCACCACGGGGTTGTCTTGGGAGAACCTCTCATCAGGAGACACGCCAGTGGGGCTTCCCACAAGTCCCAAAGGTCCAACCGACACCCCGGAATTGGCCTGCAGACTTTTCTGTTTCTGTGGGCATGTCCTGCATCAAACAGCCACAAGGCAGCAACCTCTCAAGCAACCTAGCACTCCTCATGCAAATTTCCCATCCCCACTCTGGACTGGAAATGGAAGCCACATGCCTTCCAGGCTCAAGTCCTGAAGATTCTGTCAGAGCAAGGTTTGCAGACCCACTAGGGCTCACGTGAGGGGCCACTCACCTCCTGCTTCTGCCTCAAGTCTCAGTCCAGGGTGGTGCCCATAAGGTCAGCCACACCCATCCCAGAAAAACAACTAGACCTGAGAGAGTTTTCCACAAGAGCAGTCCTGCCAAAGCTCACCCGGCCTGGACCCTGCCCACTGTGTCACCATGGAGACATAGCAGCCTGGGTCAACCCTCTGCTATTGGCTCTGACATGAGTGCATGCAGGTGGGACAGGGCGAGCATCGCTAGATGCCCTGGACTAGGGATGGATCAGAATGTGGGCCACTGAGTGCTTGTTTGACATGGAAAGAAGGATTTCTGGAAGCTTCCAAGCACCTTGTCTCCTTACCCACAGATAATGGTGGGAGCTGAGATGGGGCAGATTTGAGGGAGAATCTGAGATCCTCCTTGGATCCTCCCAAACCATCTGAGCTCCCACGCACAAGGGCTGGGTGTGGCCAGGCTTGGTCTCAGCACCTGCTGGAATGTTGTGACTGGGCCTTGGCAACTGTGCTGTGTGGTGTGTGTGTGTGAGTGTGTGTGTGTGGTCTGGCTGTGAGGCGGGACCAGAGGAAGGGCCTCCTGGTGCACACAGGGGCTGGATGGGAGCATGGGCTTGGTTGTGGTTTTGCTGGTGGTGGCTGTGGTTCTTGGTTGCAGTTTGGGGTGTTGGTGGCAGAGGCTGCCTGAACTGCAGCACCAGTGGATGTGCTGTGACAGCCAGGATCAGCCCCACATTTCCCCTCCCCCACCTCGCAGTCCTGCTAGGGAGGGCAAGGTCTTTTCTCTTACCTCATTCCTCCTGCATCTCTTTCTGCTTGAGACTATAATGCCCTCCACCATACAATACACATTTTTAAATAACTATGGGCATGTATGTATTGATCAATCAATTATGCTTTTTAGACAAATGCATCGATTTACATATCAATACATTTGATAGAAGCAAAAACTCCCCCACATTTCCAGATAACGCATTATTCTCAGCCCATCAGCACAAGGTGGAAAAAGGCGCTACTCTTGCACAACAGCTGCTTTAACAGCGTCACCCTCTCTGTGCCCTTCCATCACCTACAATGGCGTGTCCTGCAGCCCCCAAAGCAGCTGTGGTCTGTGGACTCTTGGAGAGCAGCCAGTCCCTTGGGCGTCTTGTCCCAGAACACACACACGCAGCCCTGTGTAGACCTGTGTCTGCCTGGAGGAAGGCCCACGCACGTGTGTGCGAAGAAGCAGTGAAGAAGGCCCAGAAGGGGCGAGGTGCGGTAGCCTAGAGGCTCAAGTCCTCCCCATGAACGCACCAGGATCCCATATGGGCCCTGGTTCTGGTCTCCACTTCCTGTCCGGCTCCCTGTTTGTGGCTTGGGAAAGCCGTGGAGGACGGCCCAAATGCTTGGAGCCTGTGCCCGCATGGCAGACCCACAGGAAGCTCCTGCCTCCTAATCAGAGCTCAGCACTAGGGGTTTGGGCGACTTGGAGAGTGAATCGTCACACAGAAAATCTTTCTCTCTGTCTCTCCTCCTCTCTGTAGATCTCACTCTGCAATCACATTGTTAAGTCTAGAAAGAAAGGAGGAAAGAACAAAGAAAGAAATGAAGACAGGAAGGAAGAAAGAGAGAAATAAAGGAAGGAGAAAGAAAGAAGGAAAGAAAGAAGGGAAGAAAGAAAGAAAGAGAAAGAATGAAAAGAAAGAAAAGGAAGAAAGAAAGGAAAGAAAGAAAAGAAACAAAGACAGCAGTCCGCTAGCGCTCTAAGGGAATCCCGCAATCAATAGAACCCTCTCCCTGGCATAGAGGCCCCAAGAAGTGCAATTTTGTCCCACCCCTCTTCCCCAAGGCAGAGATTGCACCCCACAACTTTGCAACCCACAGCGCCCGTGTTGGCGGCACAGACCTACCTTCAGCACAATCACGGAGTAGCTCAGAAACAGAAGCAGAGCTAGTGGTCCCGGAATCAGACGGAGAATCAAAGTCCAGGCGGTCAGTGATGACTGTGGCTGCTGCAGGTGGAAGCCACTGGGAGCTGTCAGCAGTCAGGCCCTCTTTCTTATAGGCCAGGCCCATGGGAATGTGGACGGTGATTGGCTTTTGGGCTCGGCCACGCCTTCCAGGGGGCGGAGCCAAGAGCATCAGCCAATGTCCTCAGAGCCCTGGCCTCTGGGCGGAGCTAGCGGGAATTCGGATGTTCCTTTCCCAACAAGCAGATGCAATGGGGCACATGCGTGTTGCCTGCACTCCCACCACGGGGTTGTCTTGGGAGAACCTCTCATCAGGAGACACGTCAGTGGGGCTTCCCACAAGTCCCAAAGGTCCATCCCACAGCCCGGAATTGGCCTGCAGACTTTTCTGTTTCTGTGGGCTGTGTCCTGCACCAAACAGCCACAAGGCAGCAACCTCTCAAGCAACCTAGCACTCCTCATGCAAATCTCCTTCACCCATACTCGACACAATGTCTGGATTTGAGCATGGGCTAATCTGAGGATTTTGTTCAAAGTCTAAGGGTCTATTGTGCCAGTGGTTGCCTGAACCATAGCACTTGCTGATGTCACCTGGAACAATGATCAGCTCAAAATCTTCTCTTCCCCATCTTGTGTTCCTGGCAGGGAAGTTGGGTCTTTTCACTCACCTCATTCACGATGCACTTCTTTCCTGCCTGGGACCACAGCGTCCTCAATCATAGAACCAATATTTTTTTAAGTTTTGAAAATGTTTTTAAAAGATTTATTTTTATTATTTTTTCATTGGAAAGGCAGACATACAGAGAGGAGAGACAGAGAGGAAGATCTTCCATCCGATGATTCACTCCCCAAGTGAGCGCAATGGCCGATGCTATGCCGATCTGAAACCAGGAGCCTCTTCTGGGTCTCCCACACGGGGGGCAGGGTCCCAAAGCCTTGGGCCGTCCTCGACTGCTTTCCCAGGCCACAGGCAGGGAGCTGGAAGGGAAGCGGGGCTGCCAGGATTAGAACCGGCATCCATATGGGATCTCGGGCGTGCAAGGTGAGGACCTTAACCACTTGCGCCACCGCGCCGGGCCGAGAACCAATATTTGTAAATAAATGAATGTATTGTTTGAAGAATCCAAGTATTTTGGGCCCGGTGCGGTGGCCTACTGGCTGGGTTTCTTGCCTTGAATGCTTCAGGATCACATATGGATGCCGGTTCCAGTCTCGGCAGCTCCACTTCCCATCCAGCTCCCTGCTTGTGGCCAGGGAGGTCAGTCGAGCGTGGCCCAAAGCCATGGAAGACTACACCTGAGAGTGAGACCTGGAGGAAGTTCCTGGCTCCTGGCTTTGGATCAGCTCAGCACCAGCTGTGGCAGTCACTTCGGGAGGGAATCATCTCTCAGAACATCTTCCTCTCTGTCTCTCCTCCTCTCTGTATATGTGATGTTACAAAGAAGTAAATAAATCTTGTAAAATAATAAATGTATTTGCTTTAAAATAAATGTTTTTACTTTAGTATAAATATGTTTAATACAAACAAACAACCCCATGAAACATCCGGATTGCAGACGATTAAATAAGATCCATTAAATAAGGATCTTCAGACACATAAAGTTGTGGGAACCAGCTCACAGCTGAGGCCGACTGTGTGATGAGCAGGTGGTGAATATGGGGCTGCAAGAGGCTTTCCTGCAGGTACATGGCATACTGTTGGCAGGAATGGAATTAGTTGTTGTTGTTGTTTTGTTTTTGGTTTGTGTTTGAGAGATAGAGCTTGCATCCACTGGCTCACTGCCGAAGAAACACCAAGGCTGGTAATTGGCTCAGGCTGAAGCTGGGGACTGAAAGCTTCCTTTTGGGAGTCCTGCCTGGGCCCCAGAAACCCAATCATTTGAGTCATCACTATGGCCTCCCAGGGTCTGCATTAGCAGGATGCTCTATTCAGAACGGGAGTTGAAATTGAACCCAGGCTCTCTGACAAGAGATATGGGCATTTCCCCTCTAAGCCAAATTTTCCAAACAGTTTTTCAGTTCTCTCTTTCAGTTTTTCAGTTCTCTCTTTTTCAGTTTCTCTCTTTTCCTCTATCTTTTTCTTTCTCTCAAAGGAGGAATTAGAGAGAGAGGGAGATAGAGTGACATGGGCTGATTTCCTCCCCAATGGCCGTGTGGCCGCAGGTTGGGTCAGACACACACCAGGAACCAGCAGCTGCTTCTGGCCATCCCACAGGGCTGCTGGCATTCCAGCAGGACGACCATCCCCTGCTGCTTTCCCAGGCACAGAAGCAGGGAGCTGGAGCACAAGTGGAATAGCTGGGACTCAAATTTGTTACTTGGCGTGCCGCTGAGGCAGGCAACTCATCCAGCACACCACAAGGCCCATCCCAGCACTAGGAATTGGATCTGCCATACAAAGAACCGTCAATCTGATAAAGGAAGCAGCAATCCAATCAACATTCCATCAAGACTGATGGAATAGAGACAACCTGTGAAAGATTGTTGAGGGTTTGAACGATGAGGACCTGACTGGTATTTCAGCACTGTGACGTGAGGAATAAACACACCGGCAAGTGGTTTCAATCCATGCAAGGCTCTGGGTTTTATTTCAATAAAATGCATAAAGGAAATGAATGTATAAGGGAGAGAGTTGGGGCACACTAGAGCAAGGCCGACTGTCTGTGGGTCTGTCCTGATTTTCCAAGCAGTATCATCAGGCAGGCTCGTAACAGATCTTACGGGAATGATCCTTGAACCGCTTCCAGGTCCCCACATTGCCGCAGGTCTGGCCCCTGGTCTGGCCCCTGGTCTAGTGGCCCATAGTGTGTTTTCCCCAGGTCCAAGATCTTTTAAAATGAGTCTGGGTCCAAAGCCTTGGAGTCTGAGCTGAAGTGTTTTAGCAGGGCCTCGGCAACACACTTCTGTCCAGCTCTTTCAGAGACCATGTCAGTCCAGGCATAGCAGTCCAAATGGCCACTGCCCAGCCCAGCCAGGACATTTTTCATGCCATTCAGTCCTTGCTGAATGAAAATGTTGACTGTGTGCTACTTCCAGCAATGAGAGGGGCCACAGCCCAACCCCACCAGCATTCAAATCCTCCTGCCCATGGAGAAACTTGGACAAATTCCCACTTGAGGAGATGTCTCCTGCTTTGGACAGAAAACCAGAAAAACAAGAAACAGGGCCCAGTGTGGTAGTCTAGTGGCTAAAATCCTTGCTGTACAAGTGCCAGGATGCCCTGTGGATACCGGTTCATGTGCCAGTAACCCTGCTGCCCATCCAGCTCCCTGCTTGTGGCCTAGGAAAGTAGGGAGGCATGACCCAAAGCCATGGGACCCTGTAACCATGTGGGAGACCCAGAAGAAGGCCCTGGCTTCTGGCTTCAGCTCAGCTCAGCTCCAGCCAATGTGGTCATTTGGGGAATGAATCATCAGATGGAAGATCTTCCTTTCTGTCACTCCTCCTCTCAGTGTATCTGACTTTCCAAGACTTAAAAATGCATCAAGACTTAAAATAAAAAAGCATACTTCTGCCAATGGGTTTCTCTCTGTCCTCCACCATGTCTCTGCAACTGGGTGCTTCACTTTCCCTTTGCTCAGTAAAGCTTCTGTGTGGCCACTGTGGCTGTATACTCTCCCGCTTGAAGCTCTGGCATCCTTTGTGGGCCTGTTTTGAGTTACAGTTACATCTTGACAATAGGATGCTGGGCTTTCTGTCATTGTCCATGCCCGCAATCATGGACAGAGGACCGTGCATGAAGAACTATACTATAGGGGAAGTCAGAGAGCGGGGAGGGAGTTGGTGAAGGGGATAAGGGAAATCCCAGGGCCTATGGAACTATATCATAAAATGATAATACTAAAAAGAAGTAAAATAATTTAAAAAAAAAAGAGGCAGTTTGTCTCTTGACCCAGTGCCCATAGGGGATGCTGACACCACATTCATGCCTAGTGCTAGAGTGCTAGACATCTAATTCTGGGATTTTACTATATATGTATCTTCTTTCATTTCCCTTCATTTTAAAGGCCTCTTTTGAGTAGAGAGAGGGAGAGCTAGACAGAGTGGTCTTCTGTCCATTGGTTCCCTCCTCAAATGGGGCACTGTGGTTTCTGGAGGAGTTGCATTTGAGGCTGCAAGTCACTCTGCACAAGTCACTCTGCACTGGTCACATGATATGCCGGACTCAAGTGCTGAAGGGTATCTGGTTTCTAGGGAGGAGTGGAATGATGGCCCTGTCCCAGCCCCATTCCCTTGGATCCCAGCACAGTGCATTCCCAGCACACTAGATACGCGTATGAGTGTGTGCATTTTCAGTAAGTTTTGATTTTGCTGTGTGCTTTCAGGACCATTTCTTTGAAGATGTATTGATTTAGGGCCAGCTCAATGACTCAGTTAACTGATGTTCCATCAGCAAGGAACAGCATTCTGTATGGGTGCCAGTTTGTGTCCAGGCTGCTCCACTTTGCATCCAGTTTGCTACTTGTGGCTCGTGGGAAAGCACTGGTGGGTGACTCAAAGCCTTGTGACCCTGCACCCTCATGGGTGTCCCTGAGGTAGCTCCTGGCTACTGGCTTTCGAATGATCCACTGCAGTCTTTGTGGCCCTGTGGGGAGGAAACCAATGGTTGGAGAACATTTTGTCTCTCTTTGTCTCTGTCAAAGTGCCTTGCCAATGAACATAAACAAATGTGTTCTTCTTTCTTTGATTCCAAAAAGAGGATGTACATTCTTTGAAATGGAAAGTGACCGAGAAAACTGGAGTGAGACTTTTCAGTTTCCAGTTGACTCTGCAAACGCTTACAATGGCCACTCACAGCCAGGAGCCACAGTCTCCAGCTGGTCACATTCAGAAGGCCACTCTCCTAGACAAAATGCATGTGTGTCCACTTGCCTGCATTCAGAGAGAGGCCTTCTTACTTCTGGCATTCTTGGCTGAGAAGTTTCCCAGGTGCCTACAGCAACCTCCTTCCCAGCAGTCCAGGCACAACATTTTGTTTTTCTTTTACAATTATATTGTTTTCATTGGAAAGTCTGATATACAGAGAGGAGGAGAGACAGAAA